TTTATACAATCTTTGGACAGTCTTATTTTATATTTTGGATACAAATCCTCTTCGTTATAATCTGTAATTTCCGGCAATTCCCACACAACGATATTTCCATCAACACCGCCTATGGAATATATAATATTAATGGAGTATATTATATCATGCACTTATTACTTGTCATTTTGTGTTTATTGAACTAACCAGAGATTATTTGTTTACTGTCAGGCGTAATAGCAATTTGTATTCTTTGATTGGTATCCGATTGCCTTCCTTCGAGGGAATAAAGAACATTTCCAGGATTACGGAGGTCCCAACATAAAAATTCACTATTTTTCCGGACAACAGAGAACAACTTCATTCCGCAAGGGCTAAATTCAACTTGTGTTACACCACTCCCGGTCTGAAAAGTGCACAATGGTCCGTCTTTGTACAAACCTTCGAATATAAAAAAGAAAAATTATATATAGCTATAGACATAATTAAAATATAAAATTTATTACATCCTATGTAATCAGTATTATCACAGGTGGATACATACCAATACATTTGGAATATGTGCCAAAGGCAACTAAGCCTGGCATGAATGGATTTTCACGGATACACGAGACCAATCCTATCATATTTGGAAAATTGTGTTTAAATTGAATGTCACTTGTCTGACGTCCAGGACGGTCCGTGTCGAAGGTTCTTACAGCGTTCTTGAAACCACACCATATCTCCCTTCCTGAATCCACAAATTGAACGCTGATAGATGCTTCTACTTCGTCAACTCTGAAAACAGACGCACTCTTGCAAAGTTGCATTGAGAGATTAAGCAAAAGTAATGCTAACTACTAACTGATTGTAAGCTCGATACGTGGCACGCAATTCTCCTGTAAATGCATCCCACAGATGAATAGGACTCTCTCTGCTGGTACTAAGAAAGCAGCACGTCGCAGGTTCGCGCGAATCCATAAAAGGATACCAGCAAGTGTCGTATACGAGGCCGCCTTCCTTAATTGTCAACGCAGACGTAAAGTTGGTCTGTATGAAATCAGATGGAACCTGGCCAGAGTATAATTCTATGGGAAGCTCGTAAATGCGTATTTTGAAGTCTTCTGATGGTACAAGTAAGCATGTTCCGTCCGGCGACCACTGGCAACCTTTCGTAAAATTCTCATGCAAGTTTGTGGGCTGGTATTCCTTAGTAGCTACACATAATACCCTCGGCGCTGTGGACCAGTTATACTTGTAGACGCAGGCAGAATCTACTGAGCTGGTATCTTCCGAAACTACATTTCTTGGCTCTGTGATATTTGTAGCTTCATTGTCCCTTGTTTGCTCCGATATCTCAAGACTTGCTATTTGTTCTGGCAATGTATCGCACGTTACCTATAATTTGAAGACTGATTATTTTACAATTTGCTCAAGTAATATAGATCTGTCACAAGAAGTTTTATCAATTTATAAGATATGTTTGCCTGTCCAATATCTATCTCAAACTTACTTGTGACTGTGAAGAAACGAGAAAGTCGGTTTTATTCGGAATTACACTAGATTCCAAACGAGTTCCTGCATTTGTCTGACTGCAAGTGTCTTCGGTCGGTACGAATAAATCCGGTTGCACCTGACTAGCCTCACAAGTTTCGCTTTCTGCATCGTTTTCGACTGTCTCGTGATTTTCATTTAAACGTGGTGTTGTTATCGGCGAACGCGATTCAACAGCGGTTTCTTCACATTCTATCTCCATTGTTTATTGTACGAGAGCACGGATCTCCTTTTCTAGAAATCTTAATTTGTTTATATATGTATGGGAATGTTTTCAGCACGCGCAGTGCTTTATTTTTTTGAACTGTTAGATTGCCTTTTGCATAATAATAAAATATATTTCGAATATTGTGGAATACCGCTGAAACGGTTCTAAAGTCGGGTTAGGAATTGCCAGTCAGCTTAGGTTAGGTTAAATCACGCGTGCATTTTAGTTACGAGATTATACGTTCGAGTGCGTTGCGTTCGTTTACGAAAGTGTTTTTCAGTGTTTTTT